AACTGACTGGTGACTTTGGGAATTTGGGAGTTTCTCCTTCTCCCCCACCGCCTGCAAATCGGGACCATCGCCCTCAAGCATCGCTGGATCCAGTGGGCGGTGACTGTATACTCTCAGCTTCTCTCTTCCCCTTACTCTCATCTTGGTTTTTCCTATTCCCTAAACAGTTTCTCCCCCCCCCAAAGGGGGTTCTTTTCTTTCCTCTTACTCTCCCTGGCTCTTATCCTGCCTTTCTCTCTCTCCTATGCATTTTTTTTCTCCTCCCCAGAAAAGTTACCTATTGATTATGACAGCACCCCAAAAAAAATGTTCACCTATCTGTTGATACAAAACTGTTAAGATAAATCTTATTAACTTACTTGTTGATACAAAACTGTTGAAATAAATCTTATATATTTTCATACACCGATTATTTAGCGTCGCTTCGCTTTAATCCACCCCAAAGGAATTTTTGATAAAACCTGAGTTACCCCCCCCTTCTCTTTTCCTGGGGCGGGTCGTAACATTTTTGGCGTCACGGACAGGATCCTTTGGATGTGGTGGAGTAATCGGTGTAGTCTAAAACTGGTACCGAGGGCGAGTCAAATGGTGACTGTTCCCTCGCAGTAAAATTATAGTAAGAATTTTTCTCCTCTCGGTGTGACCCGGGCACATCAGACCTGTTGAAAGGCTTCCTGGTGTGGCCTGGACCTGTTGAAAGGTTCTCCGGTACCTGGACCTGTTGAAAGGTTTTCCAGGAGAGAGTCAAACCAGCCCTCAGAGGGTTAAGGGGGAGAAAGACATTAACCTAAGCTGGGTTAATGACTGAGGCGAAGGGGATGACACCCCGGGTTGAGTTATATGGGGATTATTCCCTCCTGATAGCTATTCTTGGTTTAGAACTGTTTTTTTTGGGTGCTGTCTTAGGCTTGTTCCTTAGAGCAGTGCAAAGGCAAAAATTACCTATTCAAAAATCTGTAAGTGAAGTGACAAAATCTTTCCAAGAGTCAATGAGAACTTTGCAGGACCAACTAGGAAAAGAGGCTATTCAAAAATCTACCGGTGAGGTGATAAGGTCTCTTCAAGAGACAATGAAGGCATTACAGGAGCAATTAGAAAAAGAACGCCTGCAGTTAACTGCTGAACGCCAGGCACTGGAAAAAGAGAGAGAGATTAACTCATTGCTTAGGTCAGCCCTTGAAGATGAGGAGGAACAAAATGAAAGGCTTAAAAAAATACTGGAAATGAAAAACTGTGAATTGCGAGACATCAATTCAAAATACCCTAAACCGGTAGATGTTAACAAATCCCTGTACCCCTCTGGGGAATTAGAAGAATTGAAGCAAAGTTACCCGGAGGAGGGGGTAATACATATGCGTCCCCTCATTAAAACTGAAACCACTGGCCAGGGGGCAGATCGGCAAACTACCACACGAACTACCCCGTACACGGGGGAAGCACTGGCCAAAATTCAGGAAAAATATAGCCGTAAGGCCAGTGAGTCAGAGACTGAATATGTGTGGAGGGTATCCCTTACTGGGGGAGATCGGATTTTGTTGAGTGAAGATGAGGCCAGAGGATTTTGGGGCCCTGGGGTTTTCCTGACCACAAATGATAACCGAGCCCCGTGGCCACTGACCCAGAGAGCTGCCTACTGGGCAGGCGGGTTAGACCCTATAGAAAGGGGAGATCCTCACACAATTAAAACCCCCACAATTGGCCACATTGTCGAAAGTGTACAAAAAACTGCATGCCTCCAATTAATCCATACAAGACTGTTGGACTCGCAGCGACATTCCCCTATGGAACTCGAGGCGGATCCACAAAGATTTCCTGTCCTAATCCGAGGTCTGCCTGATGCACTAAAAACCCATGCTAAACAACTACAAGAACGCATAATGGCAACCCCCAGGCCCGGAAGAAGGGGTGCTCCACCAGGAATGACCTGGTTGGAAGTGGCCCAAGAATTAGTAACTACTGGTAGACAGTTGGGGATCTCTGATACAAGTAGTTTTAAACAGAAAACAGATATCAGAAGGGTGGGAGAAACCCGAAAACCACCTTTGGCAGGTAATCGTCAGCAAAATGTGATACCTAGTGAGCGAACAAGGTACAGTTTGTGGGTGGAGGGTGTTGAGAAAGGAATTCCTCGAGAGGTGATGGACAAATTACCTACAGCTAATTTGGAACACTTGATAAAGCACTGGGATAAGATCAAAGAGCATGAGTCACCCCCGGGGGGCAACTCTCCCCAGGAGCCCAACACTGTAGTTCCCTCAGCCCCACCAGAAAACAGTTTAACCAGTTCCCAGCCGGGAAACAGGGTTCGCCTCTCCCAGTAAGTGAGCCGGGGAGCGGTCAGTGGATTTACATGAGAAGGCTCACAGAAAACAGTCAGGGAGATATGGTGATCACTTTCCCTCTCGGCCCTTTTAAATCTCTAGTTACATTCGTAGTAGACACGGGTGCACAGGTCTCAGCACTCCAAACTGAAGCTGCTACTCAGTGTGGCATTAAGCCAGACAAACAAAAGATATGGGTAACTGATGCTTTTGGCAAATCCCAACCCCAACACACTGCTCGAGTGAAATGCTGGTTACCTGGAGATGAGACAGCCACAGAAACTACCATGATTGTAGGGCCATTACCAGCTAACATCCTGGGGCTAGACCTGTTAAAAGGAAGGGCCTGGACAGATGCCAGAGGGAGAGAATGGGTGTTTGGTCTCCCACCCCCCTCTGTCCGTCTGTTGCAGACCGCTCCAAGTCTGCCCCCTTGTAAAATAACCAACGTAAAACCCTACCCGCTTCCTTTAGGGGCACGAGAAGGAATTGCTCCAGTAATTGCAGAACTGCAGGAACAGGGAGTGATTATCCCCATACACTCACCATACAATTCACCGGTATGGCCTGTTCGCAAACCCAATGGAAATTGGAGGCTTACAGTAGATTACCGACGTCTCAACTCTAACAGTGGCCCCCTGACAGCTGCAGTACCTAACATAGCCGAGCTGATTGCTACAATTCAGGAGCAGGCCCATCCAATTCTTGCAACTATTGATGTCAAAGATATGTTTTTCATGGTTCCCTTACAGGAGGCAGACCGAGATCGTTTTGCTTTTACCTGGGAGGGTAATCAATATACCTTTACTCGCCTACCTCAGGGATACCGACACTCCCCTACCCTGGCCCATCATGCACTCGCACAGGAGCTTGCTCAAATTACTCCTGAGGAAGGGACTAAGATATATCAATATATTGATGATATTTTAATTGGTGGCTCTGATGTCATACCAGTGAGCCAGACCCAGAAAAATATTATCACTCACCTAGAGAGTCTGGGACTCCAAATTCCCACAGAAAAGGTACAATCTGCTTCCTCTGAAGTAAAATTCCTAGGTATATGGTGGAAAGGGGGAGCTGTGTGCATCCCTCCTGAAACTTTAAACACCCTAGAACAAGTAAAGATGCCAGAGAGTAAAAGAGAGCTCCAGCATGTTTTAGGTTTGTTGGTTTTTTGGAGAAAACATGTTCCAGACTTCTCTATTATTGCCCGCCCCCTGTATGACCTAACACGAAAAAAGGCAACATGGGAGTGGACCTCCATGCATGAAGAAGCCCTAAAACTACTAATCTTTGAAGCTAATGTATACCAAACTTTGGGGCCTATACATCCCACAGACCCACTCCAGATTGAGTGGGGGTTTGCAATTCACAGTCTGTCCATACATATGTGGCAGCGAGGACCTGAGGGTCCCACTCGCCCCATTGGTTTTCTTTCTCGCAGCCTAAAAGATGCTGAAAAACGATACTCTGCTTGGGAAAAAGGCCTATTTGTGGTCTGTCTAGCCCTGCAGGAAGCAGAAAAGACAATTCGACACCAGTCAATCATTCTGCGAGGGCCTTTTAAGGTTTTAAAGCCAGTAATATCTGGAACCCCCCCTCCCGCAGGGGTGGCTCAGAGAGAAACAGTCCGGAGATGGTATGCACAAATTGATCATTACTACCACTCTCGACAAATAACTGAGGGAACTCCGAAAATACTCCAAATACAGGAACAATCTTGTAAGCTACCTGATTCAAACCCTCCTCCTTCCTGTATAAAACCTGCTCCTGCTTTTGAACCTAACTTAAAAAATGTTTGGTTTACAGATGCTTCTGCCAGGCGAGAGGGAAAAGTGTGGAAATATCGAGCAGTAGCCCTACATGTTGATTCAGGGAACAGGCTAGTGACAGAAGGAGAAGGGAGTGCTCAGGTTGGGGAGTTAGTAGCAGTATGGAGTGTATTTACCAGGGAAGCAGACACTGAAGGAGACACATACATTTACACAGATTCCTATGCAGTATTTAAAGGATGTACAGAGTGGCTCCCTTTTTGGGAACAAAATCAATGGGAAGTGAATCAAGTATCAGTGTGGCAACAAGAAAAATGGAAAGAGATTCTAAACATTGCTAGACAAAAAACGTTCCTTGTGGGGTGGGTTGCTGCGCACCAAACAGGTAACAATCCCGCTCATCTGTTAAACAATCAAGTAGACTCACTGACACGGTTAGCTAAGATAACAATAGAGGGAGAGGGACAAAATTGGGAACGTCTGTTAGAATGGTTACATGTAAAAAGAGACCACTCGGGAAACAGAGATCTGTTTAAAGAAGCAGCTAGTAGAGGGTGGCCAGTTACCAGAGAACTGTGCAACACAGTAATCTCTGCCTGTAGTCTCTGCCGCACTCGGCTGAAAGATCATGACCCCCTGAAAGATCCACCCCTACACCTGAGGGATAACAAGGGATTGTGGGATACCTGGCAAGTAGATTACATTGGTCCTTTCAGAATTTCTTATGGAAAACAATACATCCTGGTCGGAGTAGAAATAATATCAGGGCTAACCCTGGCTGAAGCCGTGCGACGAGCCACGGGAGAGAATACTGTGAAAATTCTAAAACTATGGTTCAGTCACCTGCCCAAACCAAAGTCTATCCAATCAGACAATGGGAGCCATTTCACTGCCGGGGTGGTACAAGAATGGGCCCGAGAAGAGGGAATTCAGTGGACTTTCCACACTCCATATTATCCACAAGCGAATGGTATTGTAGAACGTACCAATGGGCTCTTGAAGCGAACCATAAAACCTCATAACCCTGAATGGGCCTCCAGAGTTACTGATGCAGTAACCAAAATCAATAGCCGATGGGGAATAAATGGCTGCCCTCGAATTACAGCATTCTGCCCTGAACCTCCCACTATTCTACCGAGGGAGAATAAAAGTAAAGATTCTGTAAAACTACTCCATTATCCAGGCCAACCTATATTAGTAAATCTACCCTCTGTGGGACAGGTGCCACTCACTTTAAAAACCCCGGTTAACCCTCATACATGGGTAGCCACAGATGCTCATGGGAAGGACCATCGAATAAACACTCGATGGATTCTTCCTTCTTTTTAACAATCGGTCCGTAGTGGGCCAGATTTGTTCTTTTGCAGAAACCTGCCAGCAGATGAGATCAAACTACATGGAACCAATGGAACCTCAATTACAGCAAGAGGCAGAAGAGATAACTGCCCCCACAACTGCTTCTATTATCAACTTACAAGTATTCCATGAGAAAACGAAATAGCAACAGGACTGAAGACTTATACTGTTCTCAATGTTTTTATCTTAATAACTTTGTAATATGCATGCCTATATGTATTTTTGTCTCAATATGTAAAAGTTTGCCACAAACATTGTGTTTGTGCTCCCTCTACTCCCAGAATTACTTGTGTTATCAGCTTATTAATAATTGTTGACTTATCTGGGTTTTGTTTTTTTTTTTTCATGAACAATTCGCTGATAAGATTGTGTAGGACGAGCCATTTTATGTACTGCTAGTTTCGTTTTGCCGAGTTTGTTTTATTATTTTGTTGGGGGGCAGGTTAGTTTGGGGGAAGCTTTTGAATGTGAGCAACATACTGGTAAAATTGTATAAAGATGTACTGTTAATTTGATTTTTGTCAAGTTCATTTTGTCCTTTTAAATATCTCTCTCGATTGAGAAACTCAACCAAATATAACCTGGGAGTTAGTACAAGTATTTATGCATATTTAGAATTATATGAATATGCATTATATACATTAGTCTTCTGCCTTGAAAGGCATTGAATTTTATATTTGGTTAAATTTAACAAAAACGGAACTAAATTTAGGCCTAAAAGAAAACATAAGAAAGCCTTTTACCAGCTCCCAAGTAACTCAGTGTTTTTTGATGTATAATTTCAAATATTTATGTATGTTTGTAACCTCATTAATGTTAAGAAATTTGATTGTAGTCATTGAGATCCTATTACATCCCCTATGACTACTCACGGGGTGGAGAGAGTAACTAGTGCAAATTAGCTTACTATGTTATTATACAATTAGCTTGTTTTTTTTTGAAGGGGGGGAGAATTGTAATGCATTAGGGCAATCTCTTCCTTTCCTCCACTCTTCTGTCTCCCTGTCCACTATACGAAAAGCACCGCCCACAAAGAAGATTCACAGAGAACGACAAAAGAAGAAAAACTATTGAATGCATAAATCACGGGGTGGTGTCAGAGACTAAAATAGTTGATGTTTTATGCATTCTCGGGTTTTTGACACACCTGCTGGGGAGTAGCCGAGCTTGCGGGCTCTTGACTGTTTCCTCCTAAAAAAAAAGGGAAAAACAACCCCTTATGCCAGG